TGTATTTATAATTTATTCTGCCTGTTTCGTGTATTTATAATCTATTCTGCCTGTTTCGTGTATTTATAATCTATTCTGTCTGTTTCATGTATTTATAATCTATTCTGTCTGTTTCGTGTATTTATAATCTATTCTGTCTGTTTCATGTATTTATAATCTATTCTGTCTGTTTCGTGTATTTATAATCCCTATTAAGTAAATCATATAAATGTATTTTATATCATGTAACCGCACTATTAATATGTTCTAATCTTAGCAAGTTTTAGTTTATTTCTTGGTCATTAACGAAACTTTGAAGATAAATACAAACACAAGCATAAAATAAATGACATAAATGTAACCTTTGACCTTGTTCAAATAATACGGGGAAAACTAATAGCATAATATATATATGTTTATTCCATGTCAACAATTATAGGCCGTGAAACCATTGTTTCACATTGACCTTTGTGACCTTTGATCTTGTTCAAATAATATGGGGAAAATTAATAGCATAACACTGATAGGCCGTGAAACTACTGTTTCATATTTACAAACACATGAACCAACAATATAAAATGTTTACATACATATAGTTTACTGTTACACAGTTCAACAATGTTTAACAACAATATATATTTACATAAACAACTGAATATATATAATATACGATAACACAAGAGAAATTGACCAATCAAACAGCAGTAATGAATGAACATCTGAAACAGCCGTGTATATTTTAAAATCTTCACTAACCTAAAACTCCACACCTTTAATAACCAACAATACAGTGTATAATACATGTGTTGTAAAACACTAATCTAAAATCCACGTGCTAACTCGCCTTAAACTCACGAGGAAGAAACAGAATTTCTTGAAATAGGCTTTACTCACAATAGACAGACGAAACAATTAGACAGTACAATAATATCTAGAGTTATTTGTTTGTTAGCTGGCTTTCTTTCTTAAATTGTCCAAAGTAGGCTTTCAGGATCCAACTAGTGCAGTCATTAATTGTTCAATCTTGCTATGCCAGTGCCATCTAGTGGTTCATATTGCAGCAAAAATCTTATATTGATCCGATATGTAGTTTTAAAACAAAGTTGATCAAGAAAACTTTTGTTTTGTTTTCTTTAAATCTTCTGTTTGAAGACCTACTTTTGGTGTCTACAAAAATATTCAGGTCTAAAAATGTTCTTTCGGTAAGTGGCTTGTTGTGACAGTGCTTATTTTTTTTTTTAAACAACATAAGAATTTTCCCCAGAATTCTTAAATAATCCAGTTGAAATATTGAACTCAGATAATCAATCTATGAAAGAAATACTTCATTACACGTAGATAAAACAAAACACTGAATAATTTAGTGATTTCAAAGCCATCAAACTAAAGATTGGGAACTGAAGTGATCTATACCAGTGGTTCTCGGTCTGTGGTAAACAGACTCTCTTCACGTGGTTTGTGAAAAGCTCGTGCAGTTACAGCAAGGAAGTGACAGCATAGAGTATAGATCCCTTTATGTTTTGTCATGATAAAAGTGGTCCACACACACACAAAATACTTTCAGAAAAACTGGATTATTTAGTGATTTAAAAGACACCAAAATCTTCCTGTGAATTTGTCATTATGAACATCTTCTAATGGCAATATTACATTTACAAAACACATTGTATTCCCTAGACTGTAGAGTGTAAGCAGTGACTTCCAATTCCATCTGGTTTGGTCAAGCAAATGGTGTGTTTTCCTTTTTTGAGGGGAATGCACTGCTCTTCGAGTTCTTTGGGGGAAGCTTTATTGTTCCCGGACGCATCGTTCCAATTTTGGCGAAAAAATGGAAAAAACTTCATGAATCCACGAATGTTTCCTTTTCCACTGTCACGCGAACTTCTCGAGTCCTGGTTTTCAAGATCACTTCGAGCCCTGCGAGGATTTTTATGTCGACCACAGTAACCTTTGCGAATGTTGGTCAAGCCACGAGTGGACATGAACACAGTGGCATTCCTGGACACGCTAGAACTGTCGTCAACGTTGGTGTAGCTGGTAGTCTGAAAATCCAGATGCAGCCGTACCAGCCTGATCTTGAGACAGGGACAAAATATGTGCAAAAAAGTACGTCGATATTTTTGGCTGAGAAGACAGTATAGGACGAAGTTCCCAGCGGCATTGATGGCCATCAGGAAGTTGAATATGTTTCCTAACCCACGAGTGATGGCGTTCTGTGGGTGAAAGGTTGTGTAGACCAGGAGGACAGCTGTGGGCAGTTGACAGATCATGAACAGTACCACAACAGCAATCAACATGACGGTGATCTTCCTTTCTTGCCGCGAAGAATCTCGAGTGTCTCGACGTCTGGTCATCGTATGGCGCTGGGCACTGGACGCGTGTATGGATCTGACCAAGAAGGAGTTGAAAATGGTCAGTAGAACCAGAGGTATAAAGACAAATAAAAACACACAAAGCCAGTAGTATATGTTTTTATAAAGCACGTTCATTCCGAATTCGGAAAAAGTTGGCTGCACCAAGGTCTTATTGGTCAGTGGGTCAATGACTTCTATCACAGTCCATTCAAACAGAGTTGGGAGCGTCAAGCAGCAGCAAATAAAGGCTACGATAATGACCACTTTTTTAGCGCGTGATTCAGTACAATACACCTTTCCTTTGATTGGATGACACACGGCGATGTACCTCTCGACCGTGAACGATACAGTTAGCCACACAGATGTGTTGCTAGAAGCGTCGGTCAGCAGCAAAGCGTATGGCCAGAGTCTCCAATAATTGATGTGGTGGGGATCGGTCAAGCCAGGGTAGTGAGCAATGGACAAAATGAATATACATAGCAAGTACAACATGTCAAAAATAGCCAGTCCAGCAAGGTAGTTGTTGGTGGACGAACTCATCTGTCGCCGGGTCAAGATAACAATGGTCACCAGATTCCCTACAACACCGACGAAAGAGATGATTGGCACCAGTACTCTCTGGATCCAAAACCGACTTAAGTCACGGAACCGTAAGTAAATAAGATTGGGATCTGCCATTTTGGTTTCAGTATCGTTTTCCAACCTGAACAACGGTTCAATAGTGGGCCAAAGAAAGAAGTCGCAATCTCCTGGTGGCGACGAGGACAAGTCCAAGGATTTGACGGTAGCGTTACAGCCCCAAGTATCGTAAAAAAGTTCGAGTCCTGCCATTGGTGATTGTAATGTTAGACTCTTAGCATAAATCTAATCCGAAATTGTCATTATCAATATCAAAGTCCTATAAAAAAAAGAAGGAATAAGAATTACAGAAGACATAAAAGACAAACTGTCCTTTGAACTAGGTTAAAAGTAAAATATATATATATAACAGACTGATTAATCTATGACAGCGGGTTGCCTTTTTTCTTTAACTTGGTTCTTTTTCCACAGAAAGTCTCTAAGGGTTTATTGGGGCAGGGTGTGGCCTATTTTGGTTAACAAAGATTCATTGTTTGCGTCATTATGTCGCAAAATGCGCTCCGCATTTTAGGGTATGAGAGGTTTATAAGAGTGACTGACAGATCCTCCCCCTATGGGACAGCGGTAAGTCTACGAACGATAACGTTAAAATCCGGGGTTCGGTTCCCCGCTGTGGACACAGCTGATAGCCCATTGTGGCTTCGTTCTAAAATAAAAGAGCGAAACAAGCGATAACTCTCACTATTCAACCAGACAAGAGTAGCGCAAGAGTTGGCGGTGTGTACTATTGACTAGTTGCTTTTCATCTAGTCTGTCAGTTTAATATTAGAGACAGGTATGCGCAGATAACTCGTATTTAACCTTTACGCGAAAAGTCTAGAACAAACACTCAAACTGGATTATTTATCTGTATAAACCGTTCGGATGAATTTGAATTGTTTTCCATTGTGCTATCCTTGAAAGTAGACACACAAAACTAAAATGTTAAAGACACACGATACTTATAACACAATAGCAGCTTCTATGTCTAAAAATGTTAGTGTTTCACTTCCAAAATCGCAAACGTAACATTTTATATGTACAATATTATAAGTTTAGACTTCCAGTGGAACTGCGTGACAAGTCCTTAACATCAGTATTTTTAGCCTGAACGGCAAATTAGGCAACAGATGAGCTAAGTCAGTGTTGTTTTTCCAAATGTGGTCCATGGACTATGGTGGTCTGCGACCTGGTCCATGGACTACTGGTGGTCTGCCACCCGGTCCATGGACTACTGGTGGTCTGCCACCCGGTCCATGGACTACTGGTGGTCTGCGACCTGGTCCATGGACTACTGGTGGTCTGCGACCTGGTCCATGGACTACTGGTGATCCATAATACAAGTCACATAAACTGCAACGCCATTTTTCCCGTTAATTCTGATGTTGTTGTTTTTTTTCGGTGGTAAGGGAAAGTTGGTGGGGTAGGATCGTCCGTGGGGTCTTTCACTCCGCTGACGAAAAAAGTTTGAGAACAACTAAATTAAGCGACCACGCTAGAGACTCGCTACTGAACTAAACGACCAAGTTAGAGACTCGCTACTGAACTCAACGATCAAGTTAGAGACTCGCTACTGAACTAAACAACCAAGTTAGAGACTCGCTACTGAACTAAACGACCAAGCTAGAGACTCGCTACTGAACTAAACGACCAAGTTAGAGACTCGCTACTGAACTAAACGACCAAGCTAGAGACTTGCTACTGAGCTAAACGAACAAGCTAGAGACTCGCTACTGCAATAAACGACCAAGTTAGAGACTCGCTACTGCAATAAACGACCAAGTTAGAGACTCGCTACTGAACGAAACGAACAAGTTAGAGACTCGCTACTGAACTAAACGACCAAGTTAGAGACTCGCTACTGAACTAAACGACCAAGCTAGAGACTCGCTACTGAACTAAACGACCAAGTTAGAGACTCGCTACTGAACTAAACGACCAAGCTAGAGACTCGCTACTGA